TTGGACACAAAGCAGCCAAGAAACGACAACATCTCTGCTGTGCAAGTGTTTCTGATGGTTACCACGAGTGCCCCCACCAACCCCACTGACCCCTGCATCAACATTTAACCTAGCATGCTTTGAGTTTGCTGCTGCAAAGCTGATTGAAACCAAACCTGTTGCCTTCAGCTTTTTAATACATGTTGGTGGTTAAAGGCAGGCGGGCAGCGTGAACAGTTTGTGGATGCCATAACTCCATAGGAGCTTCAAACTGATACCATAGGTCTATCTATAAAAGTCTGAATCTTAGCAGACCTAAAGGTTAAAGGTCAGAGGTTCTGAAATCCTTGTGAATCGATAGCTCGAGATGAAGGCCATCTAGGAGCTTCAAATGACAAGAACCTGGCCTCAGAATGGGCCATTAGCCCCTCCCACCACCACCACCACAGAAATATACTGATTCCTTCTTTTCTTTTTTACCACCAGCAGCCTTAAATACATGCTGATCTTTTGTCAAATGCAGTTACCAACGTAAGTTTACAAATTCATATCTGTTGCATGGCCTAACTAACAGCAAATGTTAGTTTTGTTTTTTAAATGGTTAGTGTTCAGAATAAATTGTGTGCACCCCCCCACTCTCATTGGTCCTCTAGTCACATGACTAAGTAAGTTGTACCTTGAAGTACCAGAGTAAATACTTCATGAACCTTTCTTTCCTCATGTTTCAGAAGGGTTTAACATGCCATGACGTTGCCCTAATTTGTAGTATAAACTGATATGTTTCCACCCTGTTACTGTCCAAAGGTGGACACACAGTAGCAGCCACATTTGTCACTGATGTGATGATGTCATTGATCCAAAGCATGCATCTCTCAGTGCATTTGTATAATATCCATATTTCATTACGTAAGAAGTCACTTAGATGAGTGATTACACATTTACTACTAAAGCTGCAGACAGATGAATCCTTTCTGGAACCTTCCAGTCTCTCAGCTTTTTGTCACAACACGTTATTTGCAGGTTGACTTTCCAGCTGTTTACTTACATTCAGACAACTATTTGTATTGCAAATATTCTACAATTGCATGTTTACGTATGCAAATGTAGCATTAGCCTATTAACTTTGTGCTAATTTGCTTAAATATTTAGAAACATCTGGATTTTTTTAAATGTTATTCTATAAATTAATGAAAAAATGGTTATTAAATGTCATATGAAGAGGAATAAAGCTGCAGTTTGGTTCATGTAAGAATCACTGAGGGGACGATTCCACAGGAAAGTTGTGGGCAGAGGTTTTCATCGTGGACATGAATGTCATAGAAACTTTTAATGATTGCTTTGAACTGATGTACAGCGTACAATTTAAAAAGCATGTGTTAGGTGCACAAGTTTGAATTTATTTTGGATTTTCTACACAGGCTCATATGGATACAGCCACACTAATATATGGTTAAATGTCCCTTAGCATGTTGCACCTCAGCCAAATGCTTTGGTAGCCATCAGCGAGCTCCTGGTATATTTCTGATTGGATGTTTGAGCACTGTTCTTGTTACCGTGTTAGATCACATGACTGTGCCAAAGGCGTAATTGTTGATTTGATGAAAAATTCGATTCCATGCACTTTGTGAAGTGTAACGGTACAGCCTCAGGGTCGATGCTAACAGCATGCTTGACAGTTGTGTTCTTATGTGTGGAGAAGTCATCTTTTGTCATCATGGCCAACTAGCTCAACATTTGATTAGAAACTGTCTCCAGAAGGCGTTCGGCGTGTTCATGTGGGCACAAATTTCAGTCAAGCTTGAAAGTGTTGGAGCAGGGACAGCCTCCAAGAGACCTTCCCAAAGTATTTACATCTACAGTTTTCCTTCATTGAGTGCTTGAACCTTCTGATTGTTCAGCGAGTTCAGTTGTAGCCAATCATGATCACTGCTGTCAAATCAAAAGAGACCTCAGCACCACTCATTCAAAGATTTAGGGCAGTGTATAATGTATAGCATATACACTGGACCCTGTGTGGATTAGAGAACAAAATCAATCCAAATTTGTCAGTCGGGTTCTTGTTTTTACAATCATTATAATAACATAGCGTCATATTGATGCCTGTGATGATTTCTATCAACAACAGGTTGAAACAAACTAAACAAAAACCAGCTGTGCAAACAATAATAACGTTGTTGTAACCAGGCTGAGGGTTTTATGGAGCACGTGGGTGTATGTGAAATGTTTAATTTAAAGAGTGTGGACTGTGTGTTTAATGAGAAGGCTGATTGTTGTGTTTTTGTGCCATTTGTCTTTTTGTCTATATTTTGTCCACATACATTTGAGAAAAATATGCTGAACTGCACACAAAAACTTTCATACAGCTTTGCATAAAACACGGACGGTGAGAGTGTCAGAAAGTAGTGGTGAAAGTTAATATTTAAACTTTTCTGCACAAACTGAAGTGTGCGTGGCCCCCTCTCACGTACAGGCGCAGACACGCACAAGAAGCGTTGCTGTGGGTATTCTTCAAAGGGCCCTGCGCTGGTTCCCTTCGTTTACTGCGTAGCTCTCGTCTACATCCACGCAAATTGCGTTCAGGTTCACTGGCGAGCCTTTTCAGCTGGTTAGCCAAACATCCATAGAAAAGAGATGAGCAGGAAAGCGAGACGAAGAAAACGTGAACAGTTTATAACAAGTTAGAAAAACAGAGACCCAAGGTCAGCGTAGAAACATCGAGAGCGGGTACGTACGTGAGCTCTGTCTGTAAACGAGCTAACCGTGTTTGTGTATGAGCACAAATTCGGCGTTAGCCAACATTGGCTATTTAGCTGGCTGCTTATCATGCTAGCCAGCGTTAGCTTCTGACAGGCAGTGCTTAGCTGCGCTAGCCGAATCCTTTAAGTATTCACTGTCGTGTGATTACAGTGGGAGTCATTTTATATGGCTTTGTTCCGTTTACTGTAGCACTGTCTGCAGTTAGCCACTTTAAATTTGTTTCAATGAAGCTGACATTGTCAAGCTGCAGTCTATGGGCCAACCACACACAAACTAATGTGGCCTAAATCTAACTTCCTGCGCTACCTAGCTTGATTGAGAGTTGACGAACAGTAACACCGTAATAATTCCCAGCTCTGGCTAGCAGCTAACGTCGTGTAATAAATGCAGGTGTTTAGTTATCAGACTACACAGTGGCTTCTCCCCGTCCTGAGACGTGCTACAGTCCGATCAGCTAACCGTTAGCAGAGCTTCTCAGGTCAGCCTAAAGCTTTCTGTCTGTAGCTGTAAAACGTTGACAGCCCGCGGAACCAGTGAACAAAGCTATGGTTTGCACTCCTTTAGCTTAGCTTTGAAGTATGTACTATTACAGAGACTCAGAAATGAGTAAGAACTGTGGAGTGTGGGTGGCGAGACGAGGCCACGGCGATGCATTTAGATATGCTGTGTTTCTCCTACAGACCTCATGAAGAAGTCATTTCTGTCTGCTAGCAGTTGGTTAAAATGAACGGAGTAATGTTTACAGCTGCACGACAGGCGCTCAGTAGGTTTTAATACGAGCTAATTGATACACACATATCTGACCATCAGATGCATTTCAGATATGGTCTGCTATAAGAGCAGGGATGGTAATATACTGTCATACACTGATTGGCTCAGCAGTGTAAGGCCATGATGGCTGAGATGAGGCCAGTAGTATTGTTTTTAAATCACCTCTTGGGAAGTGCACGCAGGAGGTACTTAGTAAGCAGTGCCTCCAAACTGTGGTCAGCTGGCAGAGGAGGATGTTCTTTGTGTTTGCTCAGGCTTCACACAGGCCAGATGTATGTTTTTACTCACTAAAAACCCCAATACAAATGTTGGAACCAGCCTTTAAGTTTTCATTGCTCTTTATTACAAATTGAGAATGTAAATATTCTGAAACCACCATCCAAATACAAACGTGCAGAATCACATCAAGGTCTCTTATTCTGGCGCTGTGAGTCCGATGTAGGGCTGTGTATGTTACTCTGGTCTCATTAACCTGTAACCTTCAGGTCGCTGGTGATACCTAACAACGTTGGAGTTCATCTTTTTGTTCAGAATCAAGTGATCAGGCTTGTTATTCTGTTTTTCATAATCCGCCCACACCTGACGTCACCCACTCAAAGATTAGGTACAAGCTGTTTCTGAGCTTTGGCAGTGTGCATTTCTGTTCATCTTATAGATTGTATTAAAGATTTGTCCTGCATATACCACACAGATGTTCACTCTCCAGAAAAGTCACAAAAACAGCTAAAAATCTGTGTCAGGTTTGTTGTAAGTGTGGTTTCAGTGCAGATAAAAAGTTCAGCACTTAAGATCAGGACGCATGTGTAGATTTCAGGGCTTCATAGATATTTGTTGCATGCTTTGACTGCTTTATTCATTTTCTCAAGCTTATCCAGTTCAGAGTTGTTTGTGGAGTGGAGCCTGTCCCAGAGAGGGGCACACCTGGACAGGGTGCCCCTCTCTGGCAGGGCTGACACAGACGGCCATTTGCACTCCTCATCTTTGGGCAATGTAAAAGTTAACGTAACCCTGCTGACCGCATGTCTTTGGACTGCTCGAAGTCACATTCAAACTCCATCCAGAAAGGAGCTGGTCTGTGTTGTGTAATATGCATTATGGATGCATGTTTTCCAGCATGGATGTTGGTATTCCTTCTGGAAGCCTTAATGAAGCTGTAATTTTGTGTAGTTGAGGTTATTTATTTATTTGTCGTTTTTCCCTGTGAGCTGCTCAACCTGACCAAGAGCTCTGTGTGAGGCTACAGAAGCTCTGCTGTTGCAGGGGATCGTAACAGAGCGACGTTTATAACAGAGTCTAATGTGACGAGCCTTTTTGTTAAGTAGCCCGAGTCCCTCATTTGGAGAACTAAACGTGGTTAAAATAAATCAGTTCATTTTGTCAGAGCCGGTGGCAGCTGCAGGACGTGCTTCGGTAAATGTTATTCTTGTAGATCGGCACTCAGCTGTCACTTTATCAGTGTGGGTGCATGTCGTGTGTTGGGATGGATGCACGTGGAAGTCTGCACGAACAAGCGTTTGTCCCGTCGACGGGCTTCTGCTTCGTCTGTTTCTCGCTCGTCTTGATTGCAGTGCCCACACTTGTTGCTGAAATGAATCATGGGTCTGTGTGTAGTTAAGAGAAACATTTCCAAGCGACAGCAACGGTGCGAGTCGCGTCACGTTAATCCTTGCTGCGCTCAAACTTACTGTGTCGACTGAGGCAGCAGACTCGTGTACAGTCACCAATCGGAGCGCGCCATTCTGGGAAACGCTCTTCTCTTTGCTTCCTCCCGTCCTGCACTGATACTGTGTGATGTCGGGAGCACCGAGCTTCCCTCACCTGAACAAAGTTGGCCTCGTACACATCAGTTACTACAAGGTCTCGGTTTAGGATGGCTGAAACTACGGCCTGTTGCTACTGGTTCAGTTTTATTTCAGAAACATGAAGCACACAAAGCTCATTAGCAGTTTGTCTGGTTATGCTGAGATTAGCTGGTTTTTGTCTTTGTGGTCCAAAGGGAAGTTGCAGAGTGCGCCGTGGTGCACAAACATCAACGCTCATAACATGATGATGTTTGTCCCGTGTCTGCTTTGCTTTCATGACTTTCAGCGTTATCAGCTGTAACAGCATAGAGCTGATGTCTGCTGAGCTTCAGTGTTTTATGTAAACTGTGGTTTCCCTCTAGGTCAACGTTATTGTGTTTCACTAAACTGAATGAAGATACATTTAGATTTCTGACATCATAATAATGCTTATTAAAACTCGGCAGCCTTTACTGAAATGATTTCTCTTCCGGTCACGGATCACCCGTTGCTCTGCTTCAGCGGGATACGGCTCAGTGTTTCCTGTTAGCGGCGTCAGAGGAACTCGCTGCTGTCTCCCAGATTTCCTTCCCCTCGTTGGTCCTTCACATCATCACCGTGAAGTGAACCTCACATCAACACTGCACAAGTCTGACTGACAGTTGAGCTTTTATACCAGTGTGAGCGGGAAACGTTATTCTGACGTGCTAAACTTCACCTTTGTTGGTGTTTAGCTTGGCTTCTGACTCGTGAACCCACGTGAACCTCGGCCCATTAAATATCTACAAGTTTGACTTGAAGTCATTCTTACTTCATGCTTGGACCTCAGTAAGCAGGAAGAGAAAAAGGAGCCTGGAATAGAATAACAGGGATGTGAAGGAACGGATGGAGTGAGAGGAAAACTGCAGGAAATGAAGGAATTGGAGTATCCAGGATGGGTGTTCCTATCAGAGGAGCCAAACACCAACCGGGCCTCCTGAAGGCAGATGTGCTCTGGTTTTCTGTTGCCATCCTGTGATGTCTGTGACGCGTTTGAAACTCCAGACTCTTACTCCATGAAACGTTGTTAGATTTAAAAAGGGGCAGTCGGCTGCTCCTCTGCCTTGTAATGGCTGCAGCACAACTATCAGCTGTGGGTTTCTTTCCCGTCTCAAGCCTGAAGCTCTCACAGAGTTTCATGCTGCTTGTTATCTGAGTGGTCCTTTAATGTAATTTGAGTTCAGCGCTCTCAGATTAACCACTCTTCTAATGAGGAAACTCTGGTCCACGTGCTCTATAGTTCACACAGTGAAAATGGCGGCACTGAAATATTTGATATTCATTTTTTTCTGTTTTTTTTCTCCTTAGGTGGTTCAACACGCGGCATTGCTCTCACCCAGGGGTCAAAGCTTCACCTGTTGTGTCACAGGAACAAGCAGCCGGGTTGTCTCTGTGGGACACGTGCACTAAAGCCAGCTAGCTTACGCCTGTGCCACTAAAGTATTACCTGAGTGTCAGATGTGGAAAAACCTCCCGACTCTTCCTGTCTGCTGTCATGTCTGAACCTGAAGCTGGTATAGCTTCCACGTCCACAATAGCATGTTAGCATATGGTTAAATACGGGCCTTTAACCTCATCCTTCCCATTAGCATCTCTGGCCCCTACAAGGGGGTTTACAGTCATTCGTGGTGGTCCCCCTCACCCCTTCATCTTTTCATTTCTCATTCATTCACTCATCCACATCAGCTCCACCGTACCGTCTCTGCTGACTAAAATCAGCTACAACCAAGCTGCCTCCGCTCTGATAGGCTAACTGCTAGGCTTTTGTTTTGGTGGTTATTTTGGTTGTATGGAATCGGCTTAATCGTGGAGAGGCCAGGCTACCACAAACTGATGGACTTTGACAAGCGAGGAGTCGGGGGAGGAGGGGGCGGGGGAGGAGGCGGAGGTGGTGGAGGTGGAGGCAAAGGGGAGACAGAGGATGTGAAGAGGATGTCTGGGGTGACAGGGAGCCGACCGGGGCACGGACGGGGAGCTGGCTCCAACTCTGGGGTTCTGATGGTCGGCCCAAACTTCCGGGTTGGAAAGAAGATTGGCTGTGGGAACTTTGGAGAGCTTCGGCTTGGAAAGAACCTCTACACCAATGAATATGTGGCCATCAAACTGGTAAACATACGTTTCTGCTTGTTAACATTTTAGAACTGTAGCAACACATGTGGTTGGTTTAACAAGGATACATCATAGGATACATACGCACGGTTAAGCTGACGTCTGCCTTGAGCTCAGGGACCGCTGCACAGACGCCATCAGCTTACTGGTCACCTCCTGTTGTTGTTGATCAGTTTGACCAGGTGGGGAAATCTGTGGTTCCAAGCATGTGGAACGCCTCTCGTCCTGATGTCAATCAGTCGATTAAAACATCTGCGCTCAGATTCAAGGTGTCCTGATGAGCTCATTGCTGTGAGGTTAATTCTAGTTTGTCTAAATTAACGTTATTCTCTTTTGTAGGAACCAATTAAGTCACGAGCGCCACAACTCCATCTAGAATATCGCTTCTACAAACAACTGGGAAGTTCAGGTGAGGTCTCTGTGCTTACCCCCCTCCCCATTGGACCCAGTGTCAGCTGAGACGGGCACCAGCCCACGTGCTGGATGAATGCTACGAATGAGCTGCATTACTGACTCTGGAGTTGTTTTAAATAGCTTTTTAGTGTTTAGTCCTGAGCTGTCATGCGTTCTTAGGGCTGGGCAATATGAGGAACATCTCATATCAACGTATGCGATATACAAATGTCATTTTCAGCCGCAGAATTCAGGAGACAAAATAAAACCGTTGACATTAAAAATGTGCTCCTTTGTGCTTATAACATATAAAAATTATAAGATTAAAAAATGTGACGACCTCAAATTACAGAAACCAAAGTGCAGACTGACGTAGAGCAGTCACAGGTTCAATTCAATTCAATTTTATTTATATAGCGCCAAATCACAACAAAAGTCGCCTCAAGGCGCTTCATAGATACAGAGAAAAACCCAACAATCATATGACCCCCTATGAGCAGCACTTTGGCGACAGTGGGAAGGAAAAACTCCCTTTTAACAGGAAGAAACCTCCAGCAGAACCAGGCTCAGGGAGGGGCGGGGCCATCTGCTGTGATTGGTTGGGGTGAGAGAAGGAAGACAGGATAAAGACATGCTGTGGAAGAGAGACAGAGGTTAATAACAGATATGATTCAATGCAGAGAGGTCTGTTAACACATAGTGAGTGAGAAAGGTGACTGGAAAGGAAAAACTCAATGCATCATGGGAATCCCCGGCAGCCTACGTCTATTGCAGCATAACTAAGGGAGGATCCAGGGTCACCTGGTCCAGCCCTAACTATATGCTTTAGCAAAAAGGAAAGTTTGAAGCCTAATCTTGAAAGTAGAGATAGTGTCTGTCTCCTGAATCCAAACTGGAAGCTGGTTCCACAGAAGAGGGGCCTGAAAACTGAAGGCTCTGCCTCCCATTCTACTTTTAAATACTCTAGGAACAACAAGTAGGCCTGCAGAGCGAGAGCGAAGTGCTCTAATAGGATGATATGGTACTACAAGGTCATTAAGATAAGATGGGGCCTGATTATTTAAGACCTTGTATGTGAGGAGCAGGATTTTGAATTCTGGATTTAACAGGAAGTCAAAACAGGAGAAATCTCTCTCTTTCTAGTCCCTATCAGGACTCTTGTTGCAGCATTTTGGATCAGCTGAAGGCTTTTCAATGAGTTTTTTGGACATCCTGATAATAATGAATTACAGTCGTCCAGCCTGGAAGTAATAAATGCATGAACTAGTTTTTCAGCGTCACTCTGAGACAGGATATTTCTAATTTTAGAGATGTTGCGCAAATGGAAGAACGCAGTCTTACATATTTGCTTAATATGTGCGTTGAAGGACATGTCCTGGTCAAACATGACTCCAAGGTTCCTCACAGTGTCACTGGAGGCCAAGGTAATGCCATCCAGAGTAAGAATCTGCTTAGATACCATATTTCTAAGCTTTTCAGGGCCGAGTACAATAACCTCAGTTTGATCTGAATTAAGAAGCAGAAAGTTAGCGGCCATCCAGGTCTTTATGTCTTTAAGACATTCCTGCAGTTTAACTCATTGGTGTGTGTTATCTGGCTTCATGGACAGATAGAGCTGGGTGTCATCAGCATAGCAGTGTAAATGTATGCTATGTCTTCTAATGATGCTGCCTAAGGGAAGCATGTATAATGTAAACAGAATTGGTCCTAGCACTGAACCCTGTGGAACTCCATAATTAACCTCAGTGTGTGAAGAGGACTCTCCATTTACATGCACAAACTGGAGTCTATTAGATAGATATGATACAAACCACTGCAGCGCAGTACCTGTAATACCTACAGCATGTTCTAATCGCTCTAATAGGATATTATGGTCGACAGTATCGAACGCTGCACTGAGGTCTAGCAGGACAAGCACAGAGATGAGTCCACTGTCAGAGGCCATAAGAAGATCATTTGTAACCTTCACTAAAGCTGTTTCTGTGCTGAGCTCTGAAACCTGACTGAAACTCTTCAAATAAACCTCTGCAGATGATCTGTTAGCTGTTTGACAACTACTCTTTCAAGGATGTTTGATATAAAGGAAGGTTGGAGATTGGCCTATAATTAGCTAAGACTGCTGGGTCTAGAGATGCTTTTTGAGTAAAGGTTTAACTACAGCCAGCTTGAAGGCCTGTGGTACATAGCTGATTATTAGAGATAGGTTGATCATATTTAAGATCGAAGCATTAATTAATGGAAGGACTTCTTTGAGCAGTTTTGTAGGAATGGGGTCTAAAAGACACGTTGATGGTTTGGAGGAAGTAATTATTGAAGTTAACTCAGAAAGATCAATTGGAGAAAAAGAGTCTAACTTAACATCAATGGTACTAAGAGTAGCTGTAGATAATATTACATCTGTGGGATGATTACTGGTCATTTTTTCTCTAATGATAAAAATGTTATTAGTGAAGAAGTTCATGAAGTCATTACTAGTTAATGTTAAAGGGATTGTTGGCTCAACAGAGCTCTGACTGTTTGTCAGCCTGGCTACAGAGCTGAAGAGAAACCTGGGGTTGTTCTTATTTTCTTCAATCAGTGATGAATAGTAAGATGTTCTGGCTTTGCGGAGGGCTTTCTTATAAAGCAGCAAACTATTTCTCCAGGCTAAATGAGGATCCCCAAAGAACATACCTGTTCTTTGGGGCGTGGGGAGACGTTGACATGCTGAGTTTAAAACACTTTGTTTTGCAGTGGACGACCTTTCAGCTGGTGGAATAAATTTGTGGTACTGCTGCCTTTTGCAGCAATAGTTTTACGGTTTGTAAAAATGCTGCAGCTTCACTGGTGTGGAACTGGTTTAGCTTTCGTCCGTCAGATACAACCAAACACTATTTTTGGTAGAGCATGCTAGCGGGCCGTCATTATTACCGTGTTGTTTGGAAAATATGGCGCACTTAAAATCATCCTTTGATTTTTCTGAAAGTCGACAGAGCCCCTTATAATCCCGTGTGCCTTATGTATGAACTCTGGTTGTGTTTACTGACCTCGAAACGATTTTATGTGCACGGCGCTCGAAAATCTGTCAGATGTTTCAGTACGACTTTGCTAAGCTACGAAGCCGCACCGCTTGATGGATTGTTGGAGCATTACGGCTATCGTAGGCGGAGCCTCGCGGAGTGATACGTACTGTGCTTCAACATAATGTTACCGTACTGTGTGTGTTTAACCTCTTTAAGTTTTGTGGATATTATACATGGTTATTCTGAGGATATGTCGGCCAGTTTCCACTGGAAACGCCAGCAAGGAATTTGCACTGTTAAAGTTTATATAACTTTAATGCACATAAAAAAACAGCTGCTTGTTTAAGTGGAAATGCATTGATGGTTTTTTTTGCACTAATAAAGTTGTGGAGTTGTAAAGTATTTTGTCTCGTGTCAATTATATCGTCAGTTATATCGATATCACAAATTTTCAAATGTATATGGTGATGAATATTTTTGGTCATATCGCCCTGCTCTAGTTTGCACTATAACTTGAATAGTACAGTTTTCTGGTGCGTGTCAGACCTCCCATGACCAAACCGTGTCCGTGCTGCAGCGGCCGCCCCTCATTTAGGAATAAGGTCCTCGGTTTGTCTTCACCGGCCATGCTGGGATTCCCCACGCCTGCATCCAAACCGTGAGAAAGTATCGTAAACAGTGGATTTTGCGAAACCACCAAACAAACGATGGCGTCTAATATGAGACAATAGATGTTTCTTCATATTGCACAGCCCTACATGTTATTATCTGTTAAAATGAGGAGTGATCACAGTCCATCAACTATGCTTTGTTCTTCCATTGGACACCCAGAGGGTGTACCCCAGGTGTTTTACTTTGGACCATGTGGTAAATACAATGCTATGGTTCTGGAGCTACTGGGACCCAGCTTAGAAGATCTGTTTGACCTCTGTGACAGGACTTTCTCTCTAAAGACTGTACTTATGATAGCCATACAGCTGGTAAGTCAGTGTTCACATTTGAATGTTCAGACGTTAACCACCGGTAGTTTACCGAGCCGCTGAATCGGTTCTGCTCTCGTCTTGTCCCCTAGATAACTCGCATGGAGTTTGTCCACACCAGAAGCCTGATCTATAGAGATGTGAAACCCGAGAACTTCCTGGTTGGCCGACCGGGTTCCAAGAGGCAGCACACGATCCACATCATCGACTTTGGCCTGGCGAAAGAATACATTGACCCAGAGACCAAGAAGCACATCCCTTACAGAGAACACAAGAGTCTAACTGGCACTGCTAGATACATGAGCATAAATACACATCTAGGGAAAGGTGAGCGTCTTCATCCGGTCATATATTCACACATGGCAGGTGCCCACATATGACAGCAGCTCTTGCATTGTGTGCCCACTGTGCCAGCTGATAATTCACATTAACTTATTTTAACATATGTGATATTTACAGTATTTGCCTCGGTCTTAGTTACACAGGATGCATTCAGACACAGTACTAAGTGCTGGTGAAGGACTGAAATTGCAGCTGGTGCCTCAACACGTGAAACTCTGAAGAGAGGAGCTGAGCGTCACGTGTTCAGCCTGACTTTGTAACGAAGTGATGATGTGGTCAAAGACTGTTATGACACATTTACCATCCTGGGGCTGTCTGTAGCAGACTGTGTCATGTTGTTACGGTCCAGCCATGCCGTCTAAGCCTGGTCTCTCGTGTTGTTTCAGAGCAAAGCCGGCGGGATGACCTGGAAGCTCTGGGCCACATGTTCATGTACTTCCTGCGAGGCAGCTTGCCCTGGCAGGGACTCAAGGTGAGGAGACGGGCAGCTTTCCATCGGTCCAGCCCCTTCTTGTTTTCTTCGCCTGCCTCTCTTGTTGGGACTTGTCTTCAGTCACTCTGCATACAGATGGCTCACTGTGTGTCTCTTCATTAGGCTGACACTCTGAAAGAACGTTATCAGAAGATAGGAGACACAAAACGAGACACCCCAATAGAGGTCCTCTGTGAGAACTTCCCAGGTTTGTATTGACTTGTTAGAAAAGCCTATTTCATGTGTGCGCCTGTGTGGGTTGGGTGGTCTCATACCTGTCTGTGTATGTAACAGAAGAGATGGCCACCTACTTGCGGTATGTGCGTCGGCTTGACTTCTTTGAGAAGCCGGACTACGACTATCTGAGGAAACTCTTCACAGACCTCTTTGACAGAAATGGATACGTCTTTGATTACCAGTACGACTGGACTGGGAAGCCACTGGTTAGTGTGTGTGCGTGTGCATGTGCGTGCGTATGTGTGTGTGTGTCTTGAACGCACGTTGTGGCTTGTTGCAGGCTCAGAGCTAAGGTTGGCCCAGTACATGAGCCAACCTTAGCTCATGTACTGATTGATGGGCTGTGTTTACAGGAACTGAAACTGCATCAGTTTAGATCCTGTCGTCCGCACAGACGCAGTTCCTCATGTATTCTTCGTTATGCAGCATTTTATATGAACGGCTGGAGCGAGGGTGCCAGAAATCACAAACCAAAGGGTGCCCTTACAGTCTGTCACCAAGGGTCAGGCCACAGGTTCTGATGGCCCTGAACATGGGTGGTTATTAGAAACAGAACGCACTGCACCATAACAGAAGAGAGGGAGCCATCTTTAACAGGGGACGGACTCCCTCTGCAGGCAGACTACACACCAACGGAGCAGTGGGACCAGCAGCAGTATTTAAGCTGTTTGCAAGTTGGTAGACAGCAGAGCTAACAGTGTGTGGGCTCTGTGGGCAGCAGGAGTGGTTCACATCTTAGTGAAAAGGGTTTAAACTAAGGGGTGACTGTGATTACAGGGCTGTATACGTGCAGGCGGGGCCTCAGATATCACTGGTGATCCAGTTTGAATGCTTGACTAGAGGTGTCTCCAGCCAGGGCACGTGGGAGTGTGATATCCCATAATATGTTCCCCGCTGCGACTGCGCCGTGTTCCCCGCTGCGACTGCGCCGTGTTCCCCGCTGCGACTGCGCCGTGTTCCCCGCTGCGACTGCGCCGTGTTCCCCGCTGCGACTGCGCCGTGTTCCCCGCTGCGACTGCGCCGTGTTCCCCGCTGCGACTGCGCGGTGTTCCCCGCTGCAACTGCGCGGTGTGCCCCGCTGCAACTGCGCGGTGTGCCCCGCTGCGACTGCGACTGCGCGGTGTGTCCCGCTGCAACTGCGCTGTGTTCCCCGCTGCGACTGCGCCGTGTTCCCCGCTGCGACTGCGCCGTGTTCCCCGCTGCGACTGCGCCGTGTTCCCCGCTGCGACTGCGTCGTGTGCCCCGCTGCGACTGCGTCGTGTGTCCCGCTGCGACTGCGCCGTGTTCCCCGCTGCGACTGCGCCGTGTTCCCCGCTGCGACTGTGCCGTGTTCCCCGCTGCGACTGTGCCGTGTTCCCCGCTGCGACTGTGTTAGTGGGTGAATGGAGTGTTCCACACTGATGTTTCCTCAGTAATATTAATGTGACATGTCGATTGACTCCAGCTTAAGCCCAAATAAGGAAACGTCTGATAGCACAGCTGTGTATTAGCTGTGTACATTTTCTGTGTTAACCCTTTGTTTTGTGCTTAGCCCACTCCGATTGGTCCGGTGGCCAGCGAGACTCCACTTCAGACGAGCAACCGAGATAAAGCACCACAAACCAAAAACCAGGTAGGCACTGATTATAGACAAACGTGGAGCATGTCCTCGTTAGTGTTGGCACTCAGGGGTTCCCTCTGTAACAACAAACCACAGCAGGAATACCCAGTTAAGGCTGAACACAATAAACAGAATAAGTTATTCATTCTTATTCTTCTATTTTTGTACTACTAAAGTACCATGATTACAAATATTTTAGTGATATAATATGGATCAGTCACATGGGTGGGATGTTGAAGCCTGTTTTACTGTGCATGGCTTAAAGAACTAAGGTGAGGCATGTCTTTCCCCATAAGTGTTCATAATGAAGCCACCACAAGAATTGCACTTTGATTATAGAACTTTTGGGTTGGGTCATGGTTATGGGTATGGTCGAGTCATGGTTATGGTCGAGTCATGGTTATGGTTGGGTCATGACCCAACCATGGTTATGGTTGGGTCATGGTTGTGGGTATGGTCGAGTCATTGTTATGGTCGGGTCATGGTTATGGTTATGGTTGGGTCATGGTTATGGTCGGGTCATGGTTATGGTTGGGTCATGACCCAACCATGGTTATGGTTGGGTCATGGTTGTGGGTATGGTCGAGTCATGGTTATGGTCGGGTCATGGTTATGGTCGGGTCATGGTTATGGTTATGGTTGGGTCATGGTTATGGTCGAGTCATGGTTATGGTCGAGTCATTGTTATGGTCGAGTCATTGTTATGGTCGGGTCATGGTTATGGTTATGGTTGGGTCATGGTTATGGTCGAGTCATTGTTATGGTCGAGTCATGGTTGTGGGTATGGTCGAGTCATGGTTATGGTCGAGTCATTGTTATGGTCGAGTCATGGTTATGGTTATGGTTGGGTCATGGTTATGGTTGGGTCATGGTTGTGGGTACGGTCGAGTCATGGTTATGGTTGGGTCATGGTTGTGGTTGAGTTATGGTTGTGGGTATGGTCGAGTCATGGTTATGGTCGAGTCATGGTTATGGTCGAGTCATTGTTATGGTCGAGTCATGGTTATGGTTATGGTTGGGTCATGGTTATGGTTGGGTCATGGTTGTGGGTACGGTCGAGTCATGGTTATGGTTGAGTTATGGTTATGGTTATGGTTGAGTTATGGTTGTGGTCGGGTCATGGTTGTGGTTGTGGTTGAGTTATGGTTGTGGTCGGGTCATGGTTGTGGTTATGGTTGAGTTATGGTTATGGTTGAGTTATGGTTATGGTCGGGTCATGGTTATGGTTGAGTTATGGTTGTGGTCGGGTCATGGTTGTGGTTATGGTTGAGTTATGGTTATGGTTGAGTTATGGTTATGGATGAGTTATGGTTGAGTTATGGTTGAGTCATGGTTGTGGTTGGGTCATGGTTATGGTTATGGTTGGGTGGGCAGAATAATAAAACATCCAGAACCACACCAAATGTATTTATGCTTATGGCTATGGGTAGTTTTGTTTATAACCATGTTGAAGATCGGAGTTGAGAGTAGTGATGTCATGTATGATGTCATGTATGGTCTTGTGGAGAGTGCTGCATTATGAATTCTTTTCAGGGTATATTCAGTCTGTGTATAGTGACACTTTAGTCTGTTTTAACCTGCAGGCTGCTGTTCCACCTCGATGGCTTAGTTGGTGGTAGCAACATGTTTCAGGCTCACTGGGACATGTTTACTGTGGGATTGCGTCGCCTCTTCACCTTTTTAGAAGGCATTTGTTTTCTTCTCTCTCACCGGTGTTTTGCTCGTCCACTGCCGAGTGTTTTATTTTTGATGAAGTGAAGATCAGTGTTGTGTTTTCCAGCCTTGTCTCTTACTCACAGATTTCTATTCTTAAAGAGCCTGTGTGCAGTTTTACACTGACAGACACCTTCAGCACATACCTGTTATTTGTCATTATAAGCCCACTGTTACTGCTTTCTTGTTATTTACAGCAGGTAAAATAAATCTTGAACATATTAGTTTTCTAAATAAATATATTTGTAAATGGCATGAACTTCTCACTAGATGTTGATAAACAACACAGGAAATGACAGAGAGAAAAACTAGTGAACACATGAAGACTGTGTGGACGTCCTAACACCTGCTGAAGTCTCTAAGTAATTAAAAAGTGATCCTGCCACTAAGGCTACGTTCACACTGCAGGCGAAAGTGCATCAAATCCGACTTTTTTTGACCCTGTGCGACTAGGGATGGGTCCCGGTATCTGGTGCCATTATGGAAAAAACACAAACTTTGTCCAAAAATCCTCTCATGTTTAACTGTTTCCCACTTATTCTTTGGTCATTTTAGCCTTTTTGGCCAGGGTGAAGGGAGTATCTGCCATCAAACAAGAAGACAGCCGCATGTAGCTATGATGATGTTTGCTAGTTCACCTTACATGCATTAATGTAATAACGTGGTTAGCCTACTCAACGTAAATTACACACGAACAACATTAAGCTACTCACGCAGAGAAGAACGGCTGCTGCTGCATCATCATCCTCATCATTTCTGCTACACTGGCAGGGCGGGGCCAGGACTCCGGGTCCGATAACAGGCACCACACCCGCAGTAGATGTGCTCGGTGTGAGGTCTCGCAGCAAGCTATCGAATCAGAATCAGAATCAGAATACTTTATTGATCCTGGGGGAAATTATTTTTTGTTACAGTGCTCCATTTTAAACCAACATTAAGACAAGACAGACAATACGCTAACTAAGAATAGTACAATATATACATATATATACATATATATACATACATACATACATACATAAGTCACTTATAAATAAATATTTGGAAAAGAAACATGTGTAGCTGTAGCAGCAAACAGTGTGTTAAGTGGATGCGTTGTACAGGGAGATGGCCACAGGCAGGAAAGATTTCCTGTGTCGTTCAGTGGTGCTTTTCGGTAATCTCAGTCTCTCACTGAACGAGCTCCTGTGACTGACCAACATGTCATGGAGTGGGTGGGAGGTGTTATCCAACATTGTCTTTATCTTGGACAGCATCCGCCTCTCCGACACCACCTTGAGGGAGTCCAGCTCCATCCCCACAACATTGCTGGCCTTACGGATCAGTTTATTAAGTCTGTTGGCATCTGCGACCCTCAGCCTGCTCCCCCAGCATGCAACAGCATAGAGGATCGCACTGGCCACCACAGACTCATAGAAAATCCTCAGCATTTTCTGGCAGATGTTGAAGGACCTCAGTCGCCTCAAAAAATAGAGACGACTCTGGCCCTTCCTGTAAAGTGCTGTGGTGTTTTTAGCCCAGTCCAGTTTATTGTCAATGTGTACTCCAAGGTATTTATAGTCCTCCACAATGTCAACACTGACCCCCTGGATTGAAACAGGGTCAAGTGTTTCCTGGTCTTCCTGAAGTCCACGATCAGTTCCTTGGTCTTTGCCTGTCTCATCATCCCTGCTGATGCATCCAACCACCGCAGAGTCATCAGAAAACTTCTGAAGATGGCAGGTCTCTGTGCAGTGGCTGAAGTCTGTGGTGTAGAGGGTGAAGAGGAAGGGGAGAGGACAGTCCCCTGTGGTGCCCCTGTGTTGCTGATCACCTTGTCAGACACACACTGTGGGAGACGTACATATTGTGGTCTTCCTGTCAGGTAATCAACAATCCAGGACACCAGAGAAGCATCCACCTGCATCGCTGCTAACTTATCACCCAGGAGGGTCGGCCTGATGGTGTTGAAAGCACTGGAAAAGTCAAAAAACATGACCCTCACAGTGCTCGCCGGCTGGTCCAGATGGCGCATTTCTCGGCTTTTAACAAAACGCTATGCGTCGCCAGGTGTTTCATCAGATTCGAGGTGTTACCTCCTTTGACAGTATCACAGTATCAGCTTAAAGCACTTGTTGCTGCTGAGTTTGCATCTTTTGCTGTGAAGTACAGCCAGACTTTGACCGCTTCGCCTTGGGCATTTTTAATCTGTAGCTCTGCTCTAAAAGAACGTACGTACCTGGCCCCGCCTACTATCCTCGAAACGTAAAATGATTGGCTAGAATCCAAAGTGTATCACAGCTCAGGAAAATAAAGCACCGAAATGTGCGCTGCTTTTCGGTCTGGTTACTACCGTTTATGTCAGAACATACCGGTACCCATCCCTATTGTTTAAGCACTGCTTCCAGCCAAGAGTGATACCATATATGCCCCATAGCTGCAGAAAAGGCTAACATTGTTATCTTTTTACAAAAAAGAGCTGAACATGAGAGGTTTTTGGACAAAGTGTGTGTTCTCCATTCTTTAAGCACCGGTTCGAGCACCGTTTAAGCACCGGCACCATTTCAAAAGTACCGGTTTGGTACTGGTATCGGATAAAACTTAAACAATACCCATCCCTATGTGCGACCAATATCCGATCATGGTGTGACAGTGTGAATGGCGCGAATCCAAGATCTTCAAATCTAATCTGGGTCACTCTCGTATGTGGCACTGAATCCGATACATATCTGTTTCAGGAAGCGACTGCTGTTTGATGGTCACGTCGCACTAAATCCGTCTTTTACGTCACTGACACAAGACAGACGCTGATTATCAGCGCCGGAGAAGACATAGTGAACGCTTCCTGACCATCCTGTGAAACTGTTGGGAAGACAATGTTGGAGAAACGTGAACATTTTATTTGTACTGTATAATCTGCAACTATCCTTTGAAGCACCGCTCCTCTAAAACAGCAATCAGGATCATTATTAGGCCAAATGTAAATAATAAAATAACTTTATAACTTAAAGCAAAATTGGGAAACGTAAAGTCTGAAACAGTCAAACATACTGTTGCTCTGGGTCTAAACAGAGCGCGTTGTGTGACGTCTTCTTTTGTGCATGCGGCTGCTTTGAGCGTTCACACTAGAGCACGTTTGCTGTCGCATTTTATTTGTAGAGTGAACGAGCAGACAAAAACATCTGATTTGATCCAAAAATTGGAATTGAGCTTTAAGACCTGCAGAGTGAACGTAGGCTAAGTGCACATTGATACCAGCTGGCTCAGGCCCAACCAGAGGCCTATAAAAAGTTTCACCCTGAAACCTCTCATGATGTCATGATGTGACCTCTGTTGGCACTGGTTCCAGAAGCTTTACTGGACTACTGAAGGTTCCAGTGAGCTCTGTTAATAATAATCCAGAAGTGGGAAAGACATCATTTCACTGTAAACCAGGTGCTTCCTGCAAGGTTTCAGACGCAGACGAGTGAAACGACTTATCAGCAGGTACAGTTGCTTCAAAGTAAACGATAACTAATGCACTCGTATGCACGCTCACCACGCAAGACTTCATAGCTGAAGCACAAACATAATGAGGTACATTTAAAGTTTGCTGAACAACATTTAGACAAGCCTGGGAAAAACTGGGAGAGTAGAGTCTGGTCACATGAGACCAAAGCTGACCTCTGGATGCCAGAATACACCCCATGTTTGGAGGTGAACGGCACTGCACCCCCAAAACACCAAATGGTGTGGGGCTGTTTTTCAGCATACAGCACTGTGATTCAAATAATTAAAGGATGAGTGGAAAAATGTCCTGAGAGTCTTGATAAAAACCTGCTGCCACCTACCAGGATGATGAAGATGAAACGAGGGGACAGTGATGCCAAACACAGCCAACAAACTCGGTTAGTTTCAGAGAGACAAACCAAAGCTGCTAGAATGACCCGGAACCTTCTGGACTGTGTGGCAGCACGGCGCCTGTGTGCACGTCTTCATGTGTTCAATGCTTGATCCCGGTGTCATTTCTCATTATTACACGTACTTGGAAATGTGCAAAGAATCAAAGCGTAGCTGTTTTACACTGAAAATAAAAATGAGCACATATATTGAAATGTGTGCTTTGAATGATTAGTTTTGTACAGCCACGCCAGTGTGAGACCTTTGATGCTGTTTCCATAGTAACCCTATAAGAAGACCGCCTTTGTTCTGGTGGCGGTGTTTTTGCTCGCACATGCAGACCCAGCAGAGGAAGCATGCATGTTTTTCATGTAGTTTAATATGATGACCCAGCCTTGAACTGTGGTTTAGCAGTTAGTCCTCATGGTAGGTGAAGCTGAAGGACCCTTTTTGTGGGGGTCTCCTCTCGTGTGCTCTTTCCTGTGCACTCTAATGCTACTGCACACTTGAGTGCTCACCTCCACCAAATACTGACCGTTTCTTTTCTGTTTCCTTTTCCACTCTTTCTCCATTCTCATCTCTCCTCACCCGATCCTCTGCTCCATCTGCCTTTCTGCTCCCACCACCTCCTCTTTCCATCTCCCAAACACTGTTCCACCTCACCTCTGCGGCCCTCCTTTCCCATCACCAATTCACCTTTCCTCTTCTCTACCTCCACCCTTCCTGTTTCTCCTGTGATCGGCTCCTCTAGTCTCCAGAGGGGAAAGGCAGCGAGTCCCAGCCCACTCCAGTGACCAATCGAGAGCTTCTGGGCTCCCATCTCACTGCTGATAGGCTGGGCGGGTCTGTCCAGGTACTGAGAGGAAGGGTTGGCTCTGTCTGTCTGTCTGCCTGTCTGTCTGCATGACTTCCTCTGTCTCTGCAGAAGGGCTGATCTCAAGTCTGTTACAAAGCTGAAATATCCCCACACGCGGGACCAGTTCTTACCACATCATGTTTGATAGTGTCCTACATTAATTTGGCAGTATTTATGTCTTCACCCTTCTGTTACTGTCAGCTTTAGAGGGGGGGCTCCTCTGTAGATGGAGAAGAGGTTACAAAGGTCACGTGATGATGTTTGAACACATCAGTGACAAAGAACCATCAGTTCATAATTAGCAGATTAGTTATTGCTGAAAAACCAAAAGTGGAACTTGTGGCTCTGCTGATGAAACGTTTAGTCAAGTATCCAGATTACTTAAACGTGTTGATCATCGTTTGTGTGCACAAGTTACACCTTTTCCAATTGCCCGATCAAAGATCAGCTGGTGAGGTGGATGTGTCGGTGTTGCTGTTTGCCTCGAATACATGTGACATGGTGGTAACAGCGTCACGACGGCAAACACTTTATCTGGCAGCTGTGTCGTGCTGTGTGTCGTGCCCAGCAAACGTGCGGCGACATCAAATCAAATGTTTGGTCTGTGATTTCTGCAGGTGTGGAAGCAACACGCAGAGCTTCACAGCAGCATGTGTAGCACTGTGAGATAAATATAATGAACAAGGCAAAGATGATTTGTATACACGAGTCTGCTGTCATGTTGCTAAACACGTGTCCCCTCTGGTGACCTGTGAGCGTTTGGAATGGCGGTGGCGTGTTTTTAACACAAAGCGTTGGCAGCTGCTTTGGTCAGACGCACGCTCGGCCTCGTTCTCGTCACTTCTCTCTGACGTGTGAGAGGTTTGAGGAAGATTTCAAAGAAACGAAAAAGCAAACATTTTCATCAGCAGTAGAAACCGCGTGAAACAAACGGAGCCATCGAGCAGACGTGCCGTGTGTGCTGCATGGCAGTAAAACATGTGGACGTGTGTGCAGAGCTGTTGTGTCCACATCAAGCTCAAATTCATCCTCTCGTCTGTGTATGAAGAGTTTTAGTGTTTAATGAAAAACCCCAAATTGACCCCAAACGCCACCTGGGTGGGAACGAGCAGTTGGATCTGACTGAATGTGGACATAATGTCGACTTTTTTGATTTCTTTTCTTTGTTCCACCAAATTTCAGAAGTGTGACCTCTGTGCTCATCACGCTTCTCCAATTCTGTCCTTCAGGTGATGAGTTCAACCAACGGTGAGCTGAATACGGATGACCCCACTGCAGGACACTCCAATGCACCAATCACAGCCAACCCAGAGGTTGAAGTCGCTGACGATACCAAGTAAGAATTCAAGAATTACAATCTTTTTTTATTTTTCACTTCAGTGTAGGTTCAGTTTTTTCTTTCAGCTCAGATTTAAACTGAGGAAACGAGACGTTCCTGTGGGCGGTGCTGTAACACACTCACACCCAGCATCACTGCTTCACACACACAGTAGACTTTTACTCTGAAACTTCCTGCTTCAGGAAGTGTTGACTCTGCATTCACTGTATGTTGACAAACCTGTCACAGTGCTGTGTGATTGTATCATCAGCTAGCTGTGCGCCTCTCAGCCACTGCACAGGCTGAGCCCATCTTTGGGGATAACACAGTAATAACTGTTTTGGGAACATTACATATTAATAATGTAATCAGCAGTGATGGAGCAGACGATGGGACACACAGGAGGCTATAGAGATCGACAGACCACGTGACTTTCGTGCATTGCATTGTGGGTACGAGTGGCAGCAAAGTCGAAACACTGCATCAAGCGCTAGTATTTCCAGCACCGCTAATCATTAATTCTGTGGTTTTAATCCCTACTTGCATTTTATTTGCTCCCAAAAACAGCTCTGTACAAAACGACAGAAACACGGCAGCTCTGTACGAAGACAGAAAGGTAGGAGGAAAAACTGAAAGGAGTGGAAGGGTCAGACCCACACGAGCACAGAGTGGAGTAAGCACGTTAGCGTGCTGCACAACTTTCATCACGCACACATTTATTATTATGTGGTCCTAAGTGTGAGCGCACACACTCAACATGTTTAGTAACTTCAGATCCTGCAACAAGCCCAGGGCCAGTTTACTTTGGTGATTTGGACGATTCCATCTCACAGCTGCTGTTACAGACCAACACCATGTATTTGTCCTTTCAGGTTGTAGTGTTACACAACATTTTCAGATCTAGTAGAAATAAAGCGAGTGTTTTGTAATTCATTCAATTTGTTGTCTTTATTTATAACTGGCATTACTGTTTCATTCTGTTACAGAGTCTTACAGGAAAGAGGCAACGTTGTAAAAATCCATCAGCTTTATTAGCTGCTTCGGTGAAAAACAAATCAACAATGCAAAACAACATACTGAAACAGTTATTCATCACTTGATTGCTTCAATACAACACTTGGGCACATGTATGCAGACGTTTCGTGGCTGTTTTGATCTCGCGCTCTCTCTTCACCGATCAAATCTCGCTGTGTTAGCAGCTTTAAACTCGGTCTGACCCAGGCTGATGGAGGGGCCCAGTCTGGATCACATCCCAGCATTTTGTAGGCTGGTTTTCCTACAAAACACAACAAACATTAGTCCACAAAACCACAGTGAACAAAGCAACGAATTCAATTCAAATCAATATAAGATTTATTTGTAACCTACATCAACAAAAAATGTTGAAATGCTTGGAGCAGACTAACCTGTGAGCTGCAGTGTTCTGGGACGTTATATTTGGTCTTCGAATGGCTGCAATCCAGGCCATCCGTTGCCTCTTTGGTACTTCGGAAACATGACTTGAACAATTTCTCTTCCACGATGGAATCCGATAAAAACGATCTCTTTACCCGTCGGCTTCCCCTGGCTGTCATGTGACTATTGCAGTTAATAATACAACAGCTTCTTGCCATTCTTTGTTTCTTTTTATCACTGTGTGACTGTTTTCATATGAAAGCCTGCGTGCACTAGTACCACTTGCCACTCGTACCTACAATCCTTTGCGGTTTTACCCCAGAAATGACGTCACATTTTTAATCTGTCATGGGCCTCTTTCACTGCAGGAGCTACTGGGTGTTTTTTGGGTGCTGCACACCTTTTTATTTGTGCCCGTTGCAGTATCGCCCCCTGTAGGAAGTCTTAAAACGCTGCCACAGCAGGGCAGCATTTTAAATCCCCAGCAGAACAAAGGAAGGGGATCGGTGACAGCGTGCATGCACCACATGCTCGGCTATGCAGCATGTGGTGCGGTGTGGCAGCATCACCGTGGCTGCTGCTGTGCACAGATACACAGAACATGTAAATGACAGACTGTTAACAGCAGCTTGTGTGTTGCAGGTGCTGCTGTTTCTTCAAGAGGAGGAAGAGGAAAGCTCTCCAGAGACACAAATGAAGACAAACAAGGGAACCTGTGGCTCTCCTCTTCACATCTGTTCTTTTTGTTTCTTTCTCTCACCCCTGTCCTCTTCCTCACCTCTGCTAACGGGTGTTAGCTGGTATACTGGTTTCTACTGGTCTGGACCGAGCAGTGAAGAGAGCGTTTGCTGCCTCTACCAGCAACGATCCCCTTGTGTATTTATGGCCAAAGACTGAAGTGAAACCAGAGCAGCACAGACTGCTGCAGGGAAACATGTGGCCGTAAGACTACAGCTGATGGACTGAAAAACAAGTTGGCGACTGGATTCAGCTGCTTTCCTGGCCGACTGGCTTCTCACTTTCCCCCTTTCCCGTTACTGAGCGGTTCAGAGGAGAGACGAGTGTGTTTGTGAGGATATATGAGAGAGGACTCCAAATACAAGCGTGCAATGAGTCACACGTGCACACCCACTGCACACTTTTCTGGAGCTCATTGCAAATCGATTTCATGGACAAAGAGATGCAGCTCGCGCAGTCATTCAAGTTTTTATTCCTTAGGGTCAAAGGAAGAGCACTGTGAGTGGACTGGACTATTTCCTGAAATGGACCAGGCTCGGTGAATTCCTGAATCCCTTTCAGAGGAAAAACCCACGACCACCAGAATCAAAAGTTTAAAAGAAGTTTATGTAAAATCGATGCTTTGTTTCCTGTTTTAATTTGTAACTAAAAACAGAAAAGACTTCTGTTTTCATCCTGCTTTCCCATGATTTCAGTTGTTCACAAACTTTGTGTTTTGTAGTTTCTAGTGTGTTCCTCAAAATGTTTTTTTCCTAAATAACTTTTAATTTTCTTTTTTTTCTTTCCCCCTCTTCCTCTCTGGGTTGGGGGATGGGACGTCAGATAACTCCATTAAAAAACAACCAAACAACTTTAAAGCTGAGCTTCATTCAGGCTGTAATCCGTCCATTCATGTGTTTCTACCTCTCACAAACCGTGCTGGCAGCCCAGAGTCCAGTCCTTACATTCAGCCTCTACTGGGAAATGTTGAGGACTAGACCCAGAACACGCCTGTCATGTTCTACAGACTCTGCTGGGGCTGCTACATGTTGGCATCATTGACCGTGTTCAGCAGCTCTTCCCTCAGGTTTATGTGATGCTTTCATCAGCTCCATGTACACAAGGAGTCAAAATAGTTTTAATAAGGAAGTAAAAACACAAGTGCAGTCACTACGGTAACAGCACAATAGATTTCTTTGTATTCATAAACACAAATGCAGTACAAGCTGCCTGTGCTTTGACAGTCCTGACATGAGAATGCATGAACTGAACTGATTTGTCAACCATTCATTAGACTCTGTTTAGACTGAGGCGGGCATGGAAGCTGTGAAAGTGGTGTGAACAGGGTCCAGTGGGCTGGTAATGTGTGCAAAGTCCATCCTGGTTACCTGTTACCATGCTTACATTTCCTGACAAAGCAAAAAGTTCAAGTTGAGCTTTGTGGCTGTTTCTAGTAATAAAGCACCGTATTTAACAAGTACCTGAAGATGGTGCGAGTAAAGTACCAGCTTACAGTAATTCATCCTGAGGTGACCTAGTTCCCTGGTGTCCTCCATTAATGGCTAATGGAAACTACCATTTAACACATGCAAATGTTACAGCCCAGGTGAGCGGGCACAGCTGTGGCCCACTCAGCAGGTCGGTCATTGTTGTTGAATTTACACTTCTGGGATTTCTGAAGTCTGCTTCAGCAGGGCAGTTAATGTCAGGCTGAAGAGGAAGAGGAAGTGTGGCTGGCATTGATCCTAACAGCTGATGTATCTGCAGCTCTGACGGATGAACTTTAACGTGTCTTTGCACCAGGACACTGGGGCCCTGCGACAGCAAAGACGGAGGTAACATTTCAGGACTCAAAGTTTGATGAAAGAAGTTATTTTTGCAGCTGCTCAAAGTAACCGTGCAGATAAATGTCCGGAGTTCGGGCTTGGATGGATAAAGTAGTGTTGTTGTACAGCTTGACTGTGTCACGGAGAAACTGCTCACGCTTGCTGGATCCGCGGGTTGTTTCAACCACGTGGGTTTCCTAGCTGCCTCGTCGCGCTGTACTTTTGTTTAAAATAATCACTCCCTTTGATCGTCGTGCTGTCTCTGCGCTCTGAATCAAGCGCTAACATCACGAGGTCTGAAGTGTGCGTCACGTGAACAAGGTAACTCTGCGGGCTCCAGCTATTGGCTGAAAGGAGCAAGACGGCTTCCCCATTGGGCAGTTTCTACTACGTCATCTTCGCCGGTCTTGTTTACATCTGATTGTGTTTTGTGTGCAGGTTTGTAGCCGGTTAGCTGAAGGTAAGCGGAGGAGCTGCGCTTCTGTATTTACCGGTTACATGTTCAGTCAACGGTCTTTTCTTCATCTTTGTACCGTAACATGTCCCGGGGTGACTTTTCATTCGCTGCCTGTTGTGTTGTGATGTAAGTGGAGCTGTGCGGCGGTGAAATTCCCCTTCGCCCACTGATGCGCTTCTGTTTCGGTTTTCCTTCCTCTCAGACGCTCCTCCCGGCTTGGCCACATCGCTGCATGTCACCTGATTTCAAGAGGAAACTGGCACCTGAATTAAAGGGACTGACTAGCTGGTTAAGTTGCGACACATGCTCTTACTAAACCGGATGGTAAAACCGTATAAAGGAGATCAGTCGTAAAAAGGGGAACCGAAACGGGGCTGTCGACATTCAGCCTCCTTCCCCCAGACGTGGAAAAAGCTAGCCGAAGCTCCTCTCGTGTAAGCTGGGCTCTGGTCTTCCTCCAGCCGGGATGTCGGACACGGACGGTTCTCTCCCTCTGCTGAAGAGGCTCAGCTACGCGGTGGGGCACTTTCTCAACGACCTGTGTGCCTCCATGTGGTTCACATATCTGCTGGTTTTCTACCACTCGGTGCTGGGATTCCAAAACACGAGTGCAGGTTAGTCCGCGTGTCGTCCTCAGCGCGGCCGGTGTTCCAGATCTACTGGCGTTTAGATCTACTGGCGTTGGTCGAACAGATGTGTGGCAGTCTTGCGTTTCAGGAGCTGCTACCGACAAACCACCAAAAAATGCCAAATGTGTCACCTGTGACACGTGTGAGGTTGTCTCAAACACACTCCGTCAGTCTTGATGCTGTTGAACAACAAAATGTTTAAAAATGTGGAGAGTTTACCTGGTGATATCCTCACGCGCGACGCGATCGCGAAAACAGCAAACAAGTAACACCACGCCGTTGTTGTTCACGGGACAGCAAGAGTAAACGATCGGGAGACTCTTGTTGTCGTTATCGTTCCCCTCGCACGGTTTATGTCTCCGGTTTCAGCGTTTTTGCTTCACAACTACAGCGTGCTGTTTACTTTGTGCACTAACATGGACTCGAGTCAACCAGCGTCACCTCTGGCCAAGTGCCACAGCCTACAGCCAGATCAACCTGTGACACACATCTGCACCACGTTTGAATTCGTGTCATGCACATTTGTACCTTTCAATTGTGTCTGTTTGTGCGTCATGCAAACAAACCTTTGAAATGAATGAAATTATATCATGTATTTATTATCAGCCTACATTTGTACAAAATGCCAAATGACATACACATAAGAATCACCATCCTGATATCAATACTTTTGCCCATACGAAAAATGTCGTGAACACACTAATATTTCACCAGTGTTGTAACATCACATGTCGTTAGCATAGTCTGCCTGTGTCTGCCCTCTGCAAACAAACATGTTAGAGTTGGTTGTGATATACAGTCTGCATAAGTGTGGTCAATCTAATAAACATTTATAAGGAGATGGCAGTTACTGTGAATGTACAGCAGTTACACAGTGATTAGTAATAAACAGTCAGACAATGACTCTGACAATCTCATTCAATCTTGCAGATTGCACCTTCTGTGGAAAGTGGTACCACACGGTGTGTGTGGACTTCCCCTGTGCAGAAGGCGACTACAATTGTTGTGGGTGCTAAATAAACAGAAACAAATGATCCCTGTTGTCTTTGCTTACTGATTGTTTTTAGTGTTGACAATCCACATTGGTGGCATTGCATCTTTCAACATGTTTGTGGGCAGATTTGGATGTACCAGGGGTAAGTGCAGCCACTCAGCCTCTACTCACTGTGATCATAGCAGCAGGTGCAGATGTGTCACAAGTTAATCTAGTAGTGGGCTATGGTCATGTGTTAGTGGTGGGAACAGTCATATCCACTCACTCTCACTGGCTGTTTATTACTAATCACTGTGTAACTGCTGTGAATTCACAGTAACTGCCGTCTCCTTACAAATCTTCATTAGATTAACCACACTTATACAGACTGTATATAACTCCAGCCATGTTGATGAATTGCCTATATTGGCTGGAAATATTCATTTTCAGGGAAAAGACACAGACAGACGATGCTTACAGGATGTGATGTGACAACACTAATGAAATATTGATGTGTCATATTTGTCCAAGGTGTATTTCATTGTTATGGAAAAAGAGAATATCAAAATCATGATGACCAATTGGAGTGGTGATTTCTATGACTTTGTGTATATAATTTGGCATTTTGTACAAATGTAGGCTGATAATAAATATATGATATCCTTTCATTCATTTCAAAGGTTTGTTTGCATGACGCACAAACAGACACAATTGAAAGGTACAAATGTGCATGACACGAATTCAAACGTGGTGCAGATGTGTGTCACAGGCTGATCTGGCTAAACCGTGCGAGGGGAACGATGACGACGACAAGAGTCTCCCGATCGTTTACTCTTGCTGTCCCGTGAACAACAACGGCGTGGTGTTACTTGTTTGCTGTTTTCGCGATCGCGTGGCGCACGAGGATATCACCAGGTAAACTCGCCACATTTTTAAACATTTTGTTGTTCAACAGCATCAAGACTGACGGAGTGTGTTTGAGACAACCTCACAAGTGTCACAGATGACACATTTGGCGTTTTTTTGCTGGTTTGTCGGTAGGAGCTCCTGAAACGCAAGACTGCCACACATCTGTTCGACCAACGCCAGTTGATCTAAACGCCAGTAGATCTGGAACACCGGTACTCGCGGGTCATGTTTGCACATCGCCAGGCTTTGTTTTCTCTGACGAGCCTCACAGCAGTGCTGTGGGGGTCATTATGTCACCCAGTGTAACATGTGCTGCTTAACATCTTTAAAGTTTCAGTTCTGACGTCTTCGTGACGCCATCACTGGATGACGTTCACACTCTGACGTCACCACACGTGTCACGTCTTTGTCCACAAGCGGGAGTTGGATTAGGTCTTTTCCTGAGCCCAGCTGAATTTTATTTATATAGCGCCAAATCACAACAAAAGGCGCTTCATAGGTACAGAGAAAAACCCAACAATCAGATGACCCCCTATGAGCAGCACTTTGGCGACAGTGGGAAGGACAAACTCCCTTTTAACAGGAAGAAACCTCCATGCTCAGGGAGGGGCGGGGCCATCTGCTGTGATTGGTTGGGGTGAGAGAAGGAAGACAGGATAAAGACATGCTGTGGAAGAGAGACAGAGGTTAATAACAGATATGATTCAATGCAGAGAGGTCTGTTAATACATAGTGAGTGAGAAAGGTGACTGGAAAGGAAAAACTCAATGCATCATGGGAATCTCCCGGCAGCCTACGTCTATTGCAGCATAACTAAGGGAGGATTCAGGGTCACCTGGTCCAGCCCTAACTATATGCTTTAGCAAAAAGGAAAGTTTGAAGCCTAATCTTGAAAGTAGAGATAGTGTCTGTCTCCTGAATCCAAACTGGAAGCTGGTTCCACAGAAGAGGGGCCTGAAAACTGAAGGCTCTGCCTCCCATTCTACTTTTAAATACTCTAGGAACAACAAGTAGGCCTGCAGAGCGAGAGCAAAGTGCTCTAATAGGGTGATATGGTACTACAAGGTCATTAAGATAAGATGGGGCCTGATTATTTAAGACCTGTATTTCACTGTCTTTGTCTCTGCACATCCGTCCTCATTTACTGTGAGGACTACTCACAGTTTAACAGTTTAGCTTCAGCGTGCGGTGCTGTAACACCAAGGTGCAGACGGATATAAGTGACTGTGTCCTTGCTGTTGTTGTGTCTGTTCTCAGTGATTGTTGCAGTAGGTCACAGCGTGTCTCCTTTGGTGCAGGTGTGCTTTTGCTGGTCGGGCAGGTAGCCGATGGTATCTGTACGCCTCTTATTGGCTACGAGTCCGACCGAAGCCCCGGCTTTAGAAACTACGGCAAGAGGAAGACGTGGCATTTAGTTGGTAAGTACACAAAGTGAAAGCAGAGCCCTTTGTCTCTCATATATAAATACATCTGTATATGCGCATGTCTCAGTCAGATAAACCTCTGTGTTCATAGTGTTCAGCAGAGGTTAAGTTTCAACTGCTTTGGTGTTAATGACATTAAATCCATGCGCCATAGAGGGGCGACACTGAGACCCCTGAACAGATGCTGCTGCAGACATTTTCTCCTCCTCTTTAAAGCCTGACTGGCATTCACCATGAAACACCACAATGGGCAGGTCCACTGCAGCACAACCCGCAGCTCTGGTACCAACCAGCCACTACTGTTTATCCTAAAATGAACACGTTAGATCATGCTCAGTTCTTTGTTGCTAACCTATGAGCATGAATAATAGCTGAGATATTTATAAATAATGTCATACGGTCACCGCTGTCATCGTGACAGCACAGAGTGCAGGTTTTAGTCGTCACTGCACATCAATGACTCGGTGTGTGATTCTCTCAGAGGTCATGTGCCCTGAGAGTCATTAAGCTGCGTTTGAGTGACGTCTTCATTTTTATTTCTTTATTTTTGGGTGTCGTTTTGTTTTAGGGCCTCGTGGACCTGAGACACCAGTCAGTCCTCTGGTCATAGTTACTAACACGTGCTATGGGTAACATACTGTGAGATGCTGTCTGTAGGCAGCATGTGCACAGAGTATGTGTATTCTTATGGCAGTGATAGCCATACTGGGAATAGTGATGTTTTTGAAGATAAGCTGAGTCTTTTCAGTTTTTGCTGAGTGGAAATAAAAGCTGATTGTTTCTGAGCCCAAAACAATCAGCTTAGCCTTTCAGGAGAAACAGTGTTGTGAGCAGATTTACCGCGAAATCTGAAAGCTCTGCTTTTTAGGGTTGGTGTGTAAACTCTCGTGACTACAGACAGAGATCGACGTTCCCACCGTTCCCATTTCAAGTGCATAATCCCAACTATGGTGGCTGCTGGAGACCAAACATCAGAAACATTCAGTTTAGACAAAGTTTGCCTTAAACGCTTCAATCCCACCACAACACACAGAAACACTGCTGGATATGACGTCCCTGGAAAATTAAATCATCTTCATTCAAGTTGGATTTTGTTTAGTTTGATGATAACAGCCGTGAAGTTGTTTATTACTCCAGGACTTTCAGTACATCGACTCGGTTCAGTTAAATGTGAGTGGCTGGTGAGACTTAAAATGCACTTATAAAAATTTAGGGCTAAAGTAAAACATGTGCGTGGATATTGCCCCGTCTCATGACTTTAATTGTTTACCGTGCTACTTTCCAGGAAAGTCTGCCATATGAACCAAAAGGTCAAGGTAGGTTTGCACTGATTAACCACAGTCAGCCTGCTGTGCATGTATACATATACATGGAAAGACTGTGCTCCAACACCTGCCGTGGATTTTATTGATCAGGTTCACATGATACGTTTTAACAACTTAACGCTGTGCAAAATGTCATCAAAAGTGCAAACAAGAGCCCCGTAGGGAAACAGGCTGAGGCTTGTGCATATTGTTGCCTATTGTGTTACCAAAGCAGCTGTCAAGCAGGAACAAAAGCACAGAACTAAAAGCAGCGGTGCTGAGACGTATGAAAGTTTCCCCAGAGTTCTCGTTGGGCGACTGCGTCATCTGGTTGCCAAGCTGCTGTGCAACATCTGCTGAAATAGTCCTGATGCATGCAGAAGGCAGATGAGGGGAAACCAAACCCCTGTTAGCCACTGAGGTCAGCTGTGAAGAGCTCTGTTCTCATTATGTTCCTCTATGTGCTCATCTGGTACTAGTTAATGGGGAGGGGGTAAATGAAAAACCAATAATACATAGATATGATCCGCGTTGTGTCATCTCTTTGCTTCTGTATGTGTTTACATCCAGGTACACTGAGCGTAGTGCTCTCCTTTGCCTTCATCTTTAACCAGTGTGTGGGCTGCAGCTTCCTCACCCCTCAGTGGGCCAGTCTAATCTACTTCGTCCCATTCATCATCATCTTTCAGTTCGGCTGGGCCGCCACGCAGATCTCTCACCTGTCCCTCATCCCAGAGCTGGTCACTTGTGAGCATGCTAAAGTAGAGCTCACCGCATACAGGTTAATACACGCGTGCTTTACATGACGAGAATCAAAAGATAGATGCACATCCCAAAGGTTGATGCTGTTCATCTGGATGTTTTCAGTGGCAGAAACTGAAAACATCCAGGAAGTGACCTCACAGCCGCTCAGTCAGCTGGTTTCAGTCACTGTGCAAAGGTCCTGTTTATAAGGTTGAAACCTGCAGTCAGCTGATGAGGATGAAACGTTTCTCCCACTGAAAACATCCAGATGAACAGAATCACCCTTTTCATGTTTCCTCACCTTGAACGTGCATCACGGTGTGAACGTCCACTCTGTGCTTTGTGTGTGGGAGCAGGTACGCGTTCACAGTGATAGCCAACATCACCGTGTATGGAGTGGCTTACCTGCTGTTTCACGTCCAGGCTGGAGAGGATGAAGACCCTGATTCACTGGGACCAGCAGATATCATCATCTTCAGGGTGAGCAGGCTGACGCGTGGGCATAGCTGCGAGCACAGCACGGTGTAGCAGCATCAGAGTGGGGCTGAAAGCTGTTGGAGTTCAAGCCTCTGGCTCTGCCAGCGTACTCTGTAAGACTGTGAATGTAGATGTGTACTGTGGAAAAAACCCAGGATGTAAATGTCTCTTCCTACACTTGTTTTTGCAGAAAGGTGCACGTTTCTATTAGTTTTTATTCAAGCAGAAAATACAGACCCAGGATTCTTGTGTTTGTTGCTAATGTTATGTTTGTGCTTGGTGCTCCCACCTGCAGTTTTCTGTGTACACGAGCAGATCAGGACAGTGGTGAGGTTTCTCTGGGTTTGTGGCAGCTTTGAACACAAACACTGCTGTATATCCTGCTGCTGCACAAACATGCTTCAGCAGAAGTCTGTGCAGGGCTGTGACGGGAAGCAGATTCATTATTCACTTGGCTTTCTGTGAGTGCTGCCTCCTCGACGCAGTCACAAGATTAAGAAGCTTTGGGTTGATCATCCAGGTTTCCCTCTGTTCTAGAACTAAGCCTCCTTGAACCTAATTACCTTCATTTGCACACAGGAACAGGCAGTAACAGTGTGACAGCAAAGTTGTGTACTTTTCTTTTTTGTATTTATATGGTGACGACTGTACAGACCACATAAAGCCATCAATGATACTTTTGCACTCAGCATATAAAGATGGCGGCCGCGCTGCATCTGGATGATATTTACTGTGTAGATCAGCTTTTAAAGAGGGGAGAAGCTCGCCGGCCACAGCAGAAGCTGCCGGGCTGACAGGTGGGACAGAAATGAACAGTCGATAGAAACGGTCCCTAAAATGTGATCCCAGGGTTTGATAACTCCGCCCACTCAGGGCAGCAGGAGCTTGTTTGTAGCAGCGATGATGAGGTGTGCCACGCTGTGTGTAATTGCAGAATCTGTCACTAATTGTTTTGGGGATCGGTGTCGTCTTCTCCGTCGTTTTCCACGTGGGAACAAAAGAGAGCAATGGAGCAAGCGAGGAGTCGGAGGAGGCCGAGGGGGAGCGGAGGCCACTGCTGCCGCGCTCCAACACCTTCTCGTCTCTCCTGCAGTGGAAATGCTGGCTGCGACAGCCTTCTTTCTACCAGGTATGGAGCTTTGAATGACTTAAGCACTGACGCCACCTCCACCCGAACCTCTTCAGAATGACGGGAGCAGCTTCCAAGGCTGGGCGGGCGTCAGCGCCCGTTCAGCTCGAGATGTAGGATTTTGATATCGTAGCTGCATCAGCAGACCTGCTCGCTGTGTCTCTGCAGGTGGCCGTGCTCTACATGTCCACCAGGCTGATCGTCAACCTGTCTCAGACGTACATCTCCATGTATCTCATCAACACTCTGGGGCTGCCAAAGGTGACGGGAAATCGTCCAGTTCACCCGTAACACGCTGGGTTGTCGTCACGCGCTCATCTTCTGCTTGTTTTTTTCCTCCCAACAGAAGTTCATAGCTACCATCCCATTGGTGATGTACGTGAGCGGCTTCCTGTCCTCCTTTATCATGAAGCCTGTCAGCAAACTCATTGGGAAATGTGTAAGTAAACCAGGTCAGGTTTCTGAAAGCAGCACGAGTGGCTCTGAGGGACTCGCTGCGCTCCTCGCTGTAGAAAACAAAACGTCATATTTGTTCTTGTCAGTCACGCTGACACGATTGCACCACAGAAATGGTGAAGGTGGAGCCTGTGCTGTGTTCACAGTAACAATACTTCATTACTCAGTAACAGGATGTGATTGCTTCTGTATCTGCATCATCAAAAAGGCAGAAGTGGGTCACTGTCATGTGTCTTCTGTCCTCTGATTGGTCCAGCTTACTTACTTCGTGGGCCTGCTGCTGATCATGGCGTTCTCGTATTGGGTGCTGCTGGACGTCACCATGGGTCAGCAGGTATACGGGGCGGCCGTGCTGCTGGGGGCCGGGTCCGCCACCATCCTGGTCATATCGCTCGCCATGACTGCGGAGCTCATTGCAGATCAGACGGTAAGACGTGCGTGAAAGGCCGAGGCGGAGGACGAAGGATCCTGTTGTTTGAGCGAATTTGTTCATCTCTTTGCAGCAAAGCGCAGCGTTCGTGTACGGAGCCATGAGTTTCACTGACAAGCTGGCCAATGGACTGGCAGTGATGATCATTCAGGCCCTGCATCCCTGCCAGTTAGTACACACACACACACACACACACGCACGCACACACGCACACACACGCACACACACGCACGCACACACACGCACACACACATACACGCACACACACGCGCACACACACGCACACAAACACATATGCACACACACACGCACGCACACATATGCACACACACACGCACGCACGCACACGCACACACACACACACGCACACTAGAATCTGGCAGAGTGTGTGTGTCCTCCATCCTGATGCCTGAGTGTGAACGCTGCACCACTGTGGCCTCTGTGTCTCGGTGACAGTCTGCTGAGAATCATTGAGGTTTTTATTGTTAATTAAAGCAAAATTAAAACCCTTAAAACTGATGTCGTTAACTAAAACTCTGCAGATGTGATCAGTGTCAGGTTGTAGGACGACTTGGTTACTTGTTCTGATCAACGGCGTCAGATAGAAACAGTAAACATGTCAAACAGTTACATGTGCACACGTCCGGTACTGTGCTGCTAGGACACACACGTGTGTGTGTGTGTTTAAAAAGAACCCATCCTGACAGTAAACTCTTCTGTGTGTGTGTGTGTGTGTGTGTGTGTGTGTGTGTGTGTGTGTGTGACAGCACTGTGGTGTGCTGTCCTGCCTGTGTGTGGTTCTACCATTACATCATGGTCATCGTAACGGGAGGCGTTTCCATCGTCGCAGCTTTGGCCCTTTGCTCCATCCTCATCTGGCCAATCAAGATCAGAGGGCGTAAGTCTCTCTCTCTCTCACACACACACACACACACACACACACACACACACACACACACACACACACAGTGTTTCTTGTGCGTCTTCACCTTTTCACTGTGTGTGTTTGCAGGTGCTCTGCCAATCATCTCCAGTGAAGCAAATGGAATCAACTGACAGGGCTCCTCCCACATCATCTCACCACGGGGAACTTTTTCAGGGAACGGCAGGAATCCTGTGGGACTTCCTGACCCGCTGCTGAAACCAAGAAGCTTTCTGTTTTTAAACTGAGATCTGCATCCTTTCATAACCTTGTTTTGTCTTCATTTTCTGGCGTCGGACTACAGGCCAGCAAACACGTGCACAGCTGCACCTGCACTGCTTTAAAGAATTGAGTCGCACAATAAGCTAGTTTGTAATGATTTTTGAGTACAGTGGCTGCAGCTGATTTCCTCTCACCTCTGACCCCCATGATTTTCACTGTGCACATGACAGGCCCGGCTCTGCTGCACTTATTTCCTTTTACTACACGGGGTCAGCCTGAAATTCCCTAAATGTGAATGGAGCCACTACACGGAGTTTGGAAAATGATGAGCAAACAGTTGTGCTCCTTAAACAGACATCAAACATGTTTCACACGTGCACTGTGCAGGAGAGCAGGGCTGGCTGCATGTCGCATTAAAATGTCCTGGATGACAAAGGGAACCGAGCCCCTGCTCGGAGGAGGACGTGAACGCCGTTCGGTGTCCTCAGCAGTAAAATCTTCCCCAGGTTTCACTAAAAGAGTCATTCCACTACCCCCCGCTACCATTGGACACACAAGGCCGTCTGTACAGCGTGCAGGCTGACGGCGAGGAGGAGGATGCACAGACGACACTAATACAAGCGTTTACCTCGAAGACGTTTGACTGGACTCGCTCAGTGACGCAGGTCAGAGGACGTCCCTGCTGAGCTTCACCGGCTTGTTTCCAGTTGTGCTGTCCTGGAATTTGTCCCTCAAATGTTATGTAAACTGGAATCAAATGGAAGATGAATCACGTTTGTAATTAAGTGAGTTGATGAGCAGAGCTGTGTCTGACATTTAAACGCTTCAAAGGGATCAAATGTATTTGATGTGTGCATAGGAGGGAAGGTGGTGTTGGACCAGAGCTTTGTAATGATCAGCAGGACCTTTTTACTTTGTCTTCTACCTGTGTGATAAATCCTTTATTAAACAGGAGTCATTCCTCTGGTACGTTCTTCTTCTCAGCTGTGAACAGTTGCTACAGACGTCTGTCCCCGAACACAAGCTGGCAGGTTATAATATTCATACAGTATGAAACCGCTGCTTCTAATTACAGCCAGTTTTAATGTCGCAGCAGCAGAGCTGCGACCCCTCGACCGTAACAGAGCTCACTATAACTCAGGGGTGTCCAGCTCCAGGCCTGGAGGGTCCTGCAGGTTTAGATCTGACCCTGGGTCAGCACACCTGAATGTCACAGTTCATTCCCAGGTCTCTGGAGAACTTCAGGACATGTTGAGGTCATTTAGCCATTTAAATCAGCTGTGATGGATCGAGGACACGTCTAAAGCCTGCAGGCCCCCCAGGCCTGGAGCTGGACACCTCTGGTGTAACTACTGATATTGTCACCCACTCCCACTCAGTCTGATTTAAACTTCATCATCACTCACGATGCAACCAGAAACCTGCACCTCCCAACACGTGCAACCACACGCAGCCCGCAACGCCTGAAAGGCGTGGAAGGTCCTACGGGTCATAGATTTCCCACAGTGGAGCAACTCCCCACCAGCTGTGATCATAGCTTTGAGTCTGTCTTCACGTGTCCCAGCACCAAACACACTTATTCACATCACCAACACGGTGCAGCGTGGACCATCGACGAGTGGCACGCACATCCACGCACCGTTTCTGCTCTGGCAGCTCCGTATGCTCCGCCCCTCCTCCGCACACGCCCACATCAAAGTGCAACCTGAACTGTTGCTATTCTCATCCCACCTTCACACACACGTATCCTGTTTCTGCTGACCTTCCTTTGTCGTTCTGTCCCTCCACCTCTGCAGAGGCTCCACCCTAAAACCTTTGACTGTAGACCTCAGCACGTCTCGTGTGCCCAGCACTTTCACAAGCGTCTGTGTCCCTGCAGAGCACAGCTCTTCTCCCAGCTCCCATCCTGTGTTTTCTCCATAGGCCATAGGTGTCAAACTCTGGCCCGCGGGCCAAATTTGGCCTAATTACATTTGGCCCGCAAAGCCATACCAAATGACTATCAGAGCTGGCCTGCTGGTATTATACAGCTAATATATATATTGTTTAGTATTAAGCTTTGCTTGTTCCATATTCAGTTTTCCAGCACAACATGTTTGAGTCCATAAGAAAAGATTCATTCTTATATCTGGAGGAATAAATATATTTCAATAAATATTAACGTTAGCCCGCGACTTTGTTCCAGTTTTGAATTTTGGCCCACTGTGTGTTTGAGTTTGACACCCCTGCTGTAGACGGTGCAGTTCCTGTACTCCATCAACACCCAAGCAAACGGCTCTGCTGTTTCTTGGTGCTTCCTCCATCTCCAGTGTCACCACAGATGCTGACCGCCCTCCATCAGCGACATGTAGCCGCTGCTGCTGAGCTCTTTAAAGATGAGAGCGCTATGACAGAGGTGCTGTCACCGCCATCTATGGGACGAGATCCCGAAATAAAGGAATGAATCACGTCCGCAAGACGAAATGTGAAAGACGGAGGTGAAAGTGTGAAAATGGGAAAAACCAAACGATTAAATGTAAAAACAAACAAACAGGTTCATGTGAAATCTGTGATAACGACAAACAACACGAAGCTTTGAATTGTGTAGTTTTATTGCTGTTGTGAGGCTGCAGAGCTGCCAGCAGCAGCTCTCAGCAGGCAGCGCGATGCGCAGCGCGGCTTTAACGCTGCTGTCAGGGAGCGCTGGCGTTCATCTTCTCCTGGCAGCCGTCCCAGAAGCTCTGAAGTCTGTTGTCTTTGTTGCTGCAGAAGTCGGTGAAGTCTCTGAGCAGCCGGTCCGCCAGCCGCTCGTCGCCCAGCACTCCGGTTCTCCACGCTTTGGTCAGCATGGTGTTGTAGGCCCAGTAGTAGCCCACCCTCTCCTCCCCTCCGAACGGGCCCTGGCTGTTGGAGGTGGTGGAGTTTCTACGGCGGCGCTGCTGCCCGCTCGAATACTTCCTCTTAGCGTACGGCAGCTGCAGGAACACGGTGCCTGAAACGAGGCGGTGAAACTGGTCAGCTTCCCACAAACACAGTGGGTGTCTGTGCTGTGACGGGACTAACCTGTGACGTGGATGTACTGAGGCTTGTTCTCAGACGGGAAATTAAAGGTGGAAGCAGAAAACTTGTCATGCACGAAGCCAAACCTGGTAGAAAGAGTACAGTGTTCACACAAAGTGAAGCATGATGGAGAATAGAGCTGGGCGATATATCGAGTTTTTAAAACATATCGATATATTTTTATACGAGATATAAGATGTGACAATATCCTTTATATCGATATAGTCTATGTTACGTTATAATTATAGTTGTGGAGCCGCAAGTTTGCCTCTCTTTCGTCCACTTTTGTCTCTACGCAACGTCACTCCGCCTCGCCTTCACTGAAGACAACTCCCCCTCCTACCCCATCGCTTCACGTGCAGGCAGCGACAAGATGGACACGGCAAATCTCCGTTAACGAGTTACTGCGCATCGCCCCATGCGTGGGGCTGGACGGCGTCAACGTGCTAACGAGCTAAACATGCTAACGAGCTAAACATGCTAACGAGCTAACAGCGCTAACCCTAAAGTCCTTTCATTCTCTCAAAAGTTGATAGCGCGCCTTATGTATGAATTCTGGTTGTGCTTGATGGCCGCGAACCGATTTTATGTGGTACACGGCGCTCAGCAATCTGTCACAAATGTTTGAGTACGACTTTGGTAAGCTACGGAGCTGCACCGCTTGATAGATTGTCGGCGCATTACGGCTACCGAGGAGCTTCGCGGAGTGATACGTACTGTGCATCAACGTAATAGTACCGTACTGTGTATAAGGACCATAAATGGCACCAAGAGACGCGGTTATGAAGCGGATTTCAAACTCCAGGCTGTCAGTCACAGAGTAAAACTTGGGAACAGAGCAGCTGTGAAATCTGTCTTTGTTATTGTGCTCAGCGTCTTTTAGTTTACATTTTGACTGCACAATTGTGAGCTCTTTGTTTAGCACAAAAACAACATTGTTTTCTTTTATTTATGGAGCATGATTATTTAATGAATGCTGATAATTTAATTTTGAGTAATTTTTCATGTACATCTGTGCTGTATGTTAATAAAAGTGCCTGTGTGACATCTGGGACACAGCTTTGACTAAGAACTCTTTTTGTTCTTACTTTATGGCTTAAAAAAAAAAAAAATCGAGATATATATCTTATATCGCCATCCAGCTAAAAAATATCGAGATATGAATTTTGGGTCATATCGCCCAGCCCTAATGGAGAACATTAAGCTGAAAATCCTAAACTCTAAGTCTGATTTCAGGAAAGGGGCCGAGTTGTAAACGTAGAACGACACGATGAGCGCTGGCTTCACGCTGCCACAGAGCACAAACCTCACAGGAAAGTAACATGAAGCAAGCGCCTCTTTCTTCCACACAGCTTCTGATCGTTTCATCTCCTGCCCCATCACGTGTTCGTGTTTACTCGAGTCTGTCCGTTTAGATTCACGGCTGTTATAAGTAACCATGTTTAGAGTTAGCAGCTAAAGCTAATCGGCTTGTATCCAACGTCAAGTTAGCGCAACAGGGTCAGCCAAGGTTTACATGTGAGATTCAAACACGATAAAGCCGTAGGTCGATAGAATAACAGGAAGTCAAAGAAACACTGAAATGGCTGAAACAAAGAGCAGCACATTCATGAATCTAACGCTGTGGAGTGTTTCTAACAGATCACAGAAGCCTGCGTGTCAAAACTAGAAGCAACAGAAGAGTAATGCATGTTTCTTTACATGTTTAGCCCTGCAGCAGCTAACGCAGCGCTCCATGTGTAACTGACAGCACAGTGCAGACAGCGACTACAACCTGTAGAGGACGGCCTCCTGAAAGAGCTGCATCCTGTCCCAGTACGTCTCCGGTTCAAACCCTGTGTGATGACAGGACACATGTTGTCACTGAGCCACATGGACGCACACGAAAGACTCGTTCAGAGAGGCGGGAACCTTCAAAAAGGTTGTCGCTGCCATTCTTCAGCAGGCAGTGGACGTTCAGAGGAATGAAGAGCTGCGCTCTCAGCGGGTCTCCGTACAGGCAGGACGTCAGAGCGAAGGGAACTTCCAGCACCGGCACCAACAGGAAACCACAGGACGCCGCCTTCCTGTGCCAGCCTTGGACCTGATGGACAGTGACCGTTAAAACCTGTGAATCAGACACTTCCTCTGGGCTCATGTAAAGATTATGGCTGCCTGACGGCTCTTATTTTTCACACTCTCAAAGCACAGCAGTAAATCTGTCACACCGTCACTGTGCTCCAGTGCAGCGGGTGTGTTTGTAGCTGTTCTCTGTGGAGCTCAAACGTACGACCTGCAGCGTCACTGTGCACAGCCACACAAACGATTCACTTTACTCGGCCTGTCTCCCCTCGGTGTGGTTCATTCATCAGATAATGACACAGTGACACTCCCACAGACAGTGTCTGTGCTCTCACAGCATTCATGTTTCTATTCTGCTACAGCAGCACATGTACATACTGCATGTATACTCTGTGCACACCATGCATCAAACAGAGCTGAGCTGCAGTTTGGACGTTAGAGGGATGCACACGCTGGCTTTGACTGCAGCGCTGCTTTGAACCAGGACACGTGCTTACCATTTCAAAGAGCACTGCAGCAGTGACGGCCATCCAGTGCAGCTTGATCTCAAAGGCAGCGTTGAGGGAGAAGTTGCCGTGGTAATAACAGCTGCACCACTCAGTTCGGTCACTGCGGTTGTTGACGTCCACGTCTAGAGTGACCGTCTTCTGCTCTGGAACTGTAGCAGCTACAGGACACGTGGACAAGGGTGGGAAAACAGGAAGACGGGAGACAAAGCAGCAAAGAAAAGGAGAGGCTGAGGCATGATGAAGAGCACAGCTGCTGACGGCTTCATGGACGACCCTCCAAGGTTGGATCGACACTGACTGACGCTCGGTTTTCTAGATTACACACCAGCTTTGAATAAGTATTCA